CTTCAATTTCACCCTTCCAGAAAACTTAGTTCAGAAAAGAAAAATATATACAGTAAGACCCTGCTTAACATGNTTTCTTATATTATTTTTATTATTAAATTGTTTTAATTTATTTATGTGTATATTTAGTTTATTTATATAAGACACTATGTTACCTAAGTTATAGAATGAGTTTGAATATCAATCATATTTTTCTAGCTTTTCTTTATTCAGTTTAATTGATGAAACCTATCTTTTTGGATGAAAATATTTTTGTTTTGGTTAATTATTTTTTCTTTTTACAGTGCAAATTTGTTGTTATTGTAATTTTAATTTTAACATACATTGTATAAGAATATCACCATTAAGTTTCATAATGTGACATTGGTATGAGCTTCTTGAATGATGGAAATAATTCCATGCACAGAAAGCTAGAACTTCTTTAAATAAGTTTCACAAAACCTTTTTACATATTTTCTAGCAGTTTCTTGAGAGAACAAACATTTTTGGCCATGTTTAATTGCCAAATATTTGAATGATGTCATTGTTTACAGAGTTTCCTATTTCCTATCAGGCTATTGTTTTAAACAGGAGATTTAAAGACAGACAAAATTGAAAAAATTAACAAAAAAGAGATGTGTGAATGGATTACAAAAGCTTACAATCCTAAAATGGATTACAAAATTTTGTAATCCATTCACACATCTTTTTTGTTAATTTTTTTCAATTTTGACTGTCTTTTAATCTCCTGTTTAAAACAATGATGTCATAGGAATAGGAAACTTTCTGTAAACAATGACATCATTCAAATTTTTGGCCATTAAACATGGCTGAAAATGTTTGTTCTCCTAAGAAACTGCTAGAAAATGTGTAAAAAAGTTTTGTGAAACTTATGATGGAAATAATTTATGTAACTTTAAATGATTTAATTATCATGAAAATAAGGTTTATTATTTAAATAATTATATATATTGCAAAAAATTTTACTTTAAATTTATTCACTAGGAAGAAATTTGACACTGCTGTTTTCTTAATAATACAGTATATATTACATACATTTTGTAATGACTTTCTGAGTGCAATAATTTTATTTCAATTACAGATGGGAAATGTGAATACAATGTCATGATCAGATTTCAAGGTCATATTATACAAATTTGTAGTTATGTTAAACATCATTCAATACATTTTATATTTATGTATTCTATATTGATTACTATTGTTTGTTATAGAAACTTAGCAGTTTTAATTGAATAAAATATTCAAAAACTAAAATTAAAGTATGATGATAACTATATAACATAAATAAATACAGTGAAAACTTGATTATCCAAAAATGTATGTATGTATTGTATATAAAAATGTGCTCAGTAATGACAACAAATTACATTAAGAATAAACTGTACTGTCTTTTGGTGTTAGTCATTTATTTGAAAAGCTTTTAACTACAAAGAAGTACATATATAAACATCTCAAAGCCTGATAATTATATTAAAGCAGATGATTTACTGGATTAAGTTGGGCTACATTACCACTAATAATTATGAAATACTAAATAATTTGGCAATAGAACTAGACATTGTACACCATCTTTATCCAATCCTTTGGCTCCAGACATATTTAATTTACTAGTATATGGATATCTAAATTAAATATGTCTGGAAGTGAAAGATAATTTAACTCAATTCCCACCCCAGACTGATTCTTTTCTTTCAAAATTTTATAAATTACTTAATAAATATTAATTTAATTATAATTATTAAATTTAATAAAAGATAGTGTCTAATGCCTACATTTTCTAGTTCCAAATTACTTGGTATATAATAATTATTAGCAAGGCTGCGGAGTTGGTAAAAAACCACTCGA